TGCATTTGGGGAAATAAAAAATTTAAAAAAAAAATGGGATTAAAGTACCTTATCGTGATTCCATTTCATAGATTAAACGTATCCAGGAGTTTACGTTTTAAAAATAATTACTTTCGAAATGTTCACATTCATGTCTTTGACCTTCTGCACTTGAGCATATGCATAGTTTTTTAAAAGAACGCTAAAGTTTAGCGCACAGAATTGTCACTATTTCATTTCAGTTGGGTTACTGTTGACAGTTTATTTTTGTATGTATGACATTTGAGACACTCCTACAAAAAATCAATAAATAAATAAAAGCGGCGAGAAAAGATATGGACTCCTTGGATGCCAAGAGATGTCACCTCTACGAAAAACAATTTATTGGAAAACATTTCTATAAACACGGCTATGGACACACTTGAGGTATACGACATTATCCTGATGCATCCGTGAATCCCCGAAGCCGTGCGACATTAAAGTCCTCTTGAAATAGCCTTCAAATTTTTTCGTCTCTAACGTCTAACGTACATATTCTTCGCTTCACCGATATTGCGGTTATCCTGTTTGTTTCACATTTATGGTGGAACTAATTTATTCTGGTTTCCTGACAAATAGTTTAATTAAATTAACTCTAGGGTGCTCGTTAATTAAATGTATATCGTAATTTAACCGACAAAGGCGCCATGTAGCTACATAAGAATGGTTATTCTTGAAAAAGTTGTTCTCTTGTGAAAATTTCATGGTGGCTAAAATTCCTAGACCTGGTGTATCGCTAGCCACCGCCTGAATAACCCTTTCTCTTTGTGTTGTTCTTGAGAAGAATAGGGCTGCCATTTACAAAAATGTGTGGCCTTCTCTGTGTATACGTATATTTATAAAAATTAATAATCGTGTATATTCCATCAATAAAAACTGAAGCATGATATGTCACTTTTACGTGGAATATTGTTAAATGTGAACACATTTTAAGATATTTTTGAAAAATTTTACTTTTGCTCTTGAATATTATATTTTTTGGATCTAGCCAAACCGCCTTTCAAATTTAAGTCTTTAAAGCTTTTCTAAAAGATTCAAACTGTTGCTTACCAAGAAAAATAGGTATTGGTGAAATAAAAATACATATTTAAACTACAGCTAAAATACTTCATTTGTGGAGTATTAGGTTTATTTCGGTACAGGAAGCATGAAAATAAACAACCCTCTCGCCGGATTCGAATTTCGGACCTCCCGAGTGCTATACGGATGTGCTTCCAATTACACCTCGAAGGCACGCGGTAAGGATAGAAAAAAGCACCTTACCTTCTTCTTGCATTTAAAGGATGAGTGTGGAGGAAGGAAGTCGCCAAATCTAAGCAGTGATATATTATCGTCTCTCACATTTTTGGCACAGGGGCGGGCCACTTGTTGAGGCATTCTAAAAATATTTTGGATCAGGAAAAGTGAGAAAAATCAGCCTTACACTTTCCGGAATTCAAAAGCTTGGCTCTCCGATGTTAGTCGAATGTGCTTCCAATAACACAACAAAGGCACTCGAGAAAGGAGAAAATGGCTCGAAGCGGTAATACTATTCTGCCCACTTGCTTTGTAACGTACCCCCTTCCTTCGTTGATTACCATACAAAATAGTTGCAATGCAGTACTGAGGCCTGTATAATATTGTTGGAAGTAGGGACACATAATAATTGTCTTTAATATACAACCAAAGGAAGACAATGAGTTTCGGGTGCAGGTCTAGAGTAGTGTATTTGCAAATCTATGAGCTCATATTATTCTGTCTTACATTTTTGCGTGTTATATGTTTTAAATTCATTTTTCTTATTACTTTAGTGCTCCTGTTTCCATTTTTATCAGTGTTTGGGATTTGTCTATACTATTTTTTAATGTATGAGTGTATGAGTGTTTTTATGGTGAACTGTGATTAACGAGGAGGAAAGTGTTTACACTTGAGCAACTTATATTTCCGAATATGGGCTCTGTTATATACTTTAAATGCATTTGTTGTACGGTTTGAGGTGCTCCGGTTTGCATTTAACTGTAGTTAGGCTTAAGGAGGAGGATAGTACTTACATTTAAGTAACTTAAAATGAAAGTGAATTTAGCCATTGAATTTACACCGCGCATTTCGACTTTTTTTCTGAAGGGACCTTTTTGAATGGTAGATTATTTAAGAATATTTCTGCCAGCTGGTCGAAGTTCTGTAAAATATGTTAAAATTAAATGTAGACTTGAATTTTTTACACTTGAATTATTATATACTTCTCGTGAGCAATGAACTTTGTATTTTCGTATCTGTATAATTACTTATATTTTACTGATTTGTATGTGTTTTTAAAAGATCATGTGCTAGATTTTGTTGTCAAAACCTTGCCGTTGTGAAATAGTTTTATTTTGTGATATAAGTGGTTAATAATGCATAAATGAGTTCTAAACTTGGTGAAATTACTCAGGTAGTAGTGGATGAATGTAACATTAATAGTAACAAAGATGAAAGTAATACTTCAAAAAGACTTAATAGTGAAAAACAATAACTTGGAAACGAATCACTTGGAAAAAACAGTTGATTCTTTAATGGATTATTGACTGTAGTTAAGGAACTTCATAGTTATGTGCAGAGGCTCTGAAATCTTAAAAAATAAGTGCCAAGAGCAAGCTCTGGTGGGATGAATAGAGATAGATGACTCGGTTGCAGACGACGTGCAATAGCTCTTGCATTTGTCTGAGGTGATTCATGCACAGTGTTCAAGATGGGTTCTTTCAATGCGAGGTGGTCGTGCACTTCTTCCACTCCTAGTGTCAGAGGTGGCTTCAAATGACCCGTTTTCGCACAGAGACCGATGCAACCTCTCGAAATTTGTGTGCTTCGACATGCGCCTGTTCGGAAACCGTTCCTTGTACAAACGTAGCGCTACTCTGCTGTTCCCATTAGCAGCTCCATACATGAGATGCATGTCAGCTTTTTCCCTATGCATAAACTCACCAATCACGCTCGATATCTGAGTTGCGAATGATCCTCTGAGGCATAGGATCGTGTTTTGTCCGGCTCACTACCGCCCTGTACCGCTGCATTGCCAGCCAATCACAGCTGTAGTTCCTATTACTGTTCCCTTTTTTGAACATTTATTGTGAATACTGTATTGCTGCGAAGAAGCACTCTGCGTTGATTTTGTACATAAACACATTTTCCTCTCGTGTCGTTTTTTCTGCTTTCCTGCATTAACCCGTCACTTTAGACTCTACATTCCTATACAAAAAATGCATGTTTTAGTACGCTCCACCACCCTCCAAGTTTGTCCCAAGATCTCTGAAATATCCTGTATATACAGAAGTTATATACAGACTCTCATTCTAGTTTGGAAGCACTAGCAGATGCTGATAATAATAATATTTTGGTCTTTTAAATAAAAGATCTCTTTGTAAAAGTTGAAAAAATTTGCAAAATTAAAATGAACTTGGTGAAAACTCATGTTGGTGTTATAGGCAACTGAGAGGACCGTCATGCTGGCCAGAGAAGCTGCTTTTATTAATGCCGTTCGATATTCAAGCATCAAAAGAATTGTTATTGGTAAAATCAAGGATTTTTATTATGGCTGCTGGAGGGAGCAATGAAACATTTCGGAAAAAAAAAGAAAATTTATATTTTAAATTTTTGAAGTTTCTAAAAATACGAGAATGATATGCGATATTGATTACAATCAAATAATTACTGGGCATGGGCACTTCGCAGCGTACCTGAAAAGATTTAATTCTCAAAATAATCCTTGTAATAAACTTTTATAATATTTGTAATGCTAAAGACAATTAACGACATTTCGCAGAAGACTGTTTATTTTTTGCGTCATGTTAGGGAAAAACATGGCAACATAAAGAATTCTATTGCACAAACACTCTACAAGAAAAATTTTAATTTGCAAAGAAGTTGATGAGTTGTATAAATGGTAAAAGAATAGTACTATAACTTTAATTTGATATTTGTAACTTTATATATTTTAATTTATTTCATTTTTAATGATTGTTTTTGACTGTCTTTTTTTCGTGTATATGTGTGTTGGGAGAGCCGCTACGTTGCAACATAAACAAAATTACAGGGTCCCTTTCAGTTTGTTGAGTCAAATTAAACTAATTTTTAACATTCACATCACAAATAACTGAAGATTTAACTTGAACATCAAGTAATGGGTTAATAATTCTCACCAGTAGGAACCTTTAAAAACTCATACTTACTCATATAAACATTTAAAACTCACTTCTTTAATGGTAGCGGATTCTGGAAAAACTATCGCTAAATTATTTACAAACTGAGTGCAATTGCTAATCTGGTACCTAACCATTTCTTCCTACTGCTTAGATAGTGAACAAAGTAGCATCTTGTAGGTGTCGATGAAACAAAAACACAAAAAGGAGATTACTGAAACTTGAAGTGTTATTTAAACTTAAACCTTGCAATGCGATTTAATCTTTACGTAGAAACTACCTTTAATGGCATAAGAAAAGTCAGCATAATCATCAAAAATATAAAAGTGGCTATTTTTTTCCCAGAGTTATTTCCTTCATCCTTCCCTCTGACGCATTTTTTTAAGAACGATATCTTAATAATGGTACGTATTATATAAAAGTGATCTTCTTAAATCTTCACGCAATCATGTTAACAAACTATTGTAAATAAATATCCTATCAGGTGTTTTAAGAATTCCTGCAAAAAAAAAAAATTAATTAAGGAATGCAAATAAATGTTGAACATATTGAAATACTGAAATATCAATTTTAAATTCTTCACCATAAATTACATTACAAATTATATATAGCAAACAATGTATTGTTTCAGCTATAGACGTTGTTAGATATAGACGTTTACAGCTATAGACGTTGTTTTTAGATTCATTGTAATATAAAATTATTAAATGAATAAAATTTTCAAATCCACACCTCTACACAATTTTTTTTCAAACTAATTAACCTAAGTCTTGATTATTTCTTTATTTCTCCTTGAGCTTTTTGCTACAATTGATTTGGAATTTTTAGGGAACTCTTAAGACTACGTTCACGAACTATGAAGTCTCTGTGACCATTTTCTCTTGCAAAGACTCTCACAACTGGAGCGGTTTAGCTGTAGCTGTTTACCGATTTATAACACTTTTTGCTCTACCCTTTCTGCTTATGATTATCTGCTATTCATGGGTCATTGCTGAGCTATGGATCAGTACAAGGACAATGGATGAGCTTACTAATTTCAAGTAAGAAACTTTTATTTGTTTTTTTTATGTAGCAAAATAATTTAATGAGAGATTTTTGAAAATTTTAATTGTTGGTAATAAATAGTTTTCGTCTAAATAATATAAAAAGATACAATACTTGTAATTCTAAAAGTCAAGTTTTAAATCACTTTTTCAGGTTTCGAAAAAATTCACGAAAGGACACAATAATTAACTTAAAGAATCTACTATTTTAAGGAGCTATGGATTCTTCTAAAATGAAGATTCTAAAAATGAAGAGCTATTCGCACATTTTAGACGACTTTCATTGTATTTATAGAAATATTTTACCTAAAAGTTTTCTATTTTAAAAGTTCTGTTTGATAACCCTAACTCTTTGCTATGTTTCTGCACCGTAATTTTGAAGACATTAAAGCCTTTTGTAGCATCGGAATAGGTATTTTATCCCATTCCTCTTGAACAGTTTTAAAAATCTAAAGAGGGCTGCAGGTCAGCGTCTAGACAATCAGCTTTTTACAAGTCCAAAAGCGCAAACGTCCATGAGTGATACATCAGAAGATTTAGTAGGGATGCGAGTGAAAGATATGGTCTTGATTCTCGTTTCTTGTTCCATTTTTTTTTCAGCAAATTCACAGTGGATTTTGACGTGTGGCTACTTGCTTTATCTAGATGCAGTTCTACTGATTGATGGCACTGTGGGGTAAAGGGAAGGTATTTGATATTTAAAAAATGGTATAAGATATGTTCCTGATAATATGTGGAGTTGATCTTAACATTTTCTCCCCTCTCTTTATTTTTTATTTGCCATTATATGCAAAATAAGGAACAATCATAAATCCATTTGAAAATCTTTCTTTAGATTCTTTAAACCATGTTTAAGACTTTTTTCTTCTCTTTGATGATAATGAATGGATCTCTTTTCAGTCATTTAAATATACCCGGAATTCATGTATTGTGACAAAATTTTACATTTTTGTCCCGATAAATATTTCTCATAATGAATTCTGCAACGCTTTCTGCCTTCGGTGATATTTCGTGGAGAAAGACGATGCACATTAGGTTTTTTTCCCCTTTTTAAGATTCAAATCAGCATTAATAACTTTGTTTACAGTTAACAATTTATTATTTTAATGACTAATTTTGCAACTGTTCTTTTACCTATCGGATTTCCTTTTAAAATTAAAGATCTTACCTTTGCAACATTCGAAACATTCCGGAACAAATTTTCCACTTCAAGCCAAACTCCGACACTTTTCCCCTTTCTTGTTGACAATATTACTTATCCTATCTTTAGATAACTTAACCCATGCTTTCTCAGCGTTTTTTAGTAGCTAGATACGAATAATTTTGGAAAGAGCACAAAGATAGCCTACCACCCATTGCTTCTTTAAAAGCGCCATTTTTCATGAAAACAAAGTAGTCAAGTATCAGAGGATAATTAATATTTTCAGAAATATATCTGCAGTTAAAAAAATTTCCATGCAGAAAATTTTTTGTAGCAAAGTAAAATCGTCTAAAAAATGTGTAAACAGCCTCCGTAAATTATCGAAAATCCGTAAATTATCGTAAATAATCGAAACTTTGCATTAATAGTGCGATTACATACTATAGTGAATTGTCGTTTCCTCATATTTACGGTCAATACAGTAATAATTTTTTATGTGTTATAATTCGAGATTTGTATATGTGGCAACTTTTGATACAAAAAAATAATTCATACAATTTATGATCTGAAACTTTTTTGCACAGACAAGATATACGATCTTAAATTTCTCTGCAGAGCCCGGTGGATATAAATAGGCTATATTAGGGAATTGCTAGGCTGCATCAAACTTGTGGTCCCATGTGGATCAATTGCAAACAATCATTGAAAATTCTTCGAAGCTTCCTTCCAATTCGAGACTCATAATGATAAGAGACTATTGTATTATGAAACTGCGATTAAAAAAATTATCTTTCAATATTTGGATTCTTAGACTATTTAATTCTCAAGGTTCATGAGGGCTATCTATTTAAATTCCATAGCAAATTTGATCGAAAGTACCCTACTGAAAGTAATCCAAAAGTTTCGTATTCTTTTTATTCTACTGCTAAAGATTTCTAGACCTCTTTTATTCTCACATAAGTGTACAACAAATGAATGGGGTACTTTTAAAAACTAAGCGTCGTTTGATCATTAAAAAATAAACAAAAAAAAGGTTTTAGTTAATAATCAGGACATCTCCGCTACCACCATTCTTGTTAAATAGTTTTACTAGCGACAAATAAGTCTTTCTCCACTTTGTCCCTAAATATTCACCTCAAAGGAGTTCAACGAGTCCAACCACTACGTGCCACATTTTTTTTTTTTTTTTTTTTTTTTTTTTTTGAAATTTTGAGAACCAAATCCTTAGATGAAGTAAGGCGTAGAAGCTATTGGACCAAAGGTAATGATCAAAAAATCTTTTATTAGAACTGCTAAATATTCTGGGCGCATGTTTTCTAACGAACACTTTCTGATGTTGGCTTTCCAAATTATCACTCTGAATAACATGCTTCAGTTCTGAAAACATTTCGTATTAGACTAATGTTATAGTTGATCATGAATTTATATGAAATCCATCAAAACGATACAATCCTTTTATCTGGAAAACTGGCCAAATGTTTTCATGATATGTGTGTTTGATTTATTTTTGAGGGTATGAATGACGCTTCTGAATACCGTATATACTCGCGTATAAGTCGATACCGCGTATAAGTCGACCCCCCACTTCGACATAAAAAATTCGTAGAAAATAAGAAACCCGCGTATAAGTCGATCCCCCACTTCCAAAATCGATCGAGAAACTTCGAAAAAAATTTTTTAAGTACTACATTTATTCAAAATCATCTGAGAAAAAAAGTAAATATACGATAAAAAATACCTTGGTAAATAAACAAAATCAAAATCCTTCAACGTCTGATTCATGGTCAGATTCGCCAAACATTTCATAGAAGTCTTCTGTCGTCATTGGCTCGTCATCATACATATTTTCAGTCTCGAACTCTGTATTGTTACAATCACTACTACAGCCTTCGTCGTTATTTTCACTTTCAAAAACAGTATCATCTTCCGTGCCGTCTAGTTCGTTGCTAATACAACATTTTTTAAATGATTTTATAATCATTCAGAGGGTATTTCGCAGGCATTCGCATTTTTCAGGGGCAAAAACATAAAAATTTCCAAAAGTGTCCACAATTTTGGCCACCACTAAAGTTCGTCACATAATTTAAGTCATGAAATTACTTCAAGTAAGTGACTTATTTGATAAGTCGTCCAATTCGAGTGCGAGAAGAAAACAACTGCATTATACAAAGAAATTTTTGAACTTCCAATTCTTTTAATTTTTTATGGCCCCGCGTATAAGTCGCCCCCCCCCACTTTGCAGTCTTTTTTTTTGCCCAAAATATCTCGAATTATACGCGGGTATATACGGTAGATATTTTTTGCCTCAAAAGTGAATTTAGAAATCGATGTTTCATTGCCAATCACGGTATGGAAAGAACATGCATCTTCTTCTCCCTCTTTCAGAAACGCACTTAGAGTTGCCCTTCTGTTCTTTTCCTTCTTGCTAACTAAAATGTTCGATTCCTAAAGTGGCCATAATTTATAGTAGCTGCTTTTTTAATGATATTTCTTGCCATTCGTTCACTTGGTGGATTTTCTGAAAATATTTTGTGGCAAGAATACGGTTTGAAAAGAAACAATTTTTCTCGAATTTTTGCATTCATCTGTAAACTAGATCGCCTACATCTTTATCTCGAATATATTGTACGACACTCCTTAAACTCACAAGATATCTGCCTTACTCTTTCTTCAGCTCTTTAACCGTTTCATAAATCTGGCATGAATCACAGGAAGTGGCAACATTAAGATAATTTGCATTGAAAATCGAATAAGAGCGGGTTTCAGAATTGCAGGATTATTTATTTTCGCAGGCTATTACTACCAGTTGTCATGTAAGGCAAGAAATACTAAACGAGTAAAAGGTAGAAAGTAGGCGTAGCTGCCAGGTAGACTTGCAGCTGCTGCAATATGAGATTCTAGTCAATAGCATTGTTTCCCCCCCTAGAGATTTCAATTGAAACATATTACTCGTACATTTTACTGACAGTTGTTTATAGAAAAGTATCGATAAAAATAACTCAGCCTAGCACTAGAAACTGCTGATTCTTTTATAAGAGGACGTTAATAAATATTTTGAGAGGACTTATGTTGCTATTAACGTTAATAGCTCCGAAATCAAAAGATTTAATGTAACTGGGTATGACTTCGGATGTTGTATCTTGAAATAGTTGCTGTTATCTTGACTTTTTCCATAATGAGGTACTCCATCTCGCTCAAAAGGTTCTTTGCATTTTCCGTTGTGTAATGTTATGTTTTCTCAACTTGCATCTTATTCAAAGTTTTTTTTCCAACTTTTGTGATCATGGAAACGTAATGAAACAAGTTGAAAAAGCATGCCACGAAATCATTTTCTTTGGTTATGCAGACCTGTTCGTATATTAAGGAATTTGCTGTTATCCATATATGAAAGCAAAAAGGTAAGATCATTATTGGTTGGCTGAGTGTTAATCCCTCACAAGTTTGGCTATTAGGAAAACCTGTAGTACTTCTTTCAGCCAGTTCAGGTAGACAGTGCCTGTGAGTTTCAAAACGCGTTTTACATTAAATGCAAGGTTATTACTTTCGAGTCATAAAGAAAGATATATAGTCAATAAATATATCGCAAAAAGCCATATGAAGGGCCTTACGCCTAGCAGGATCACAAGAAGATTAAAGGCTCTCCTAAGTCAGAGGCAGCTGCCAGTGCAACTCCATAATTTCAAAATAGCCACGATGTTCGAAAGTAATATGGTCTAACTTCACGACAGAACCTGAATATGGCCATAAGCGTCCTACAACCCTCTATCAGCACAGAAAGTTATCTAGTTAGAGGACTACAAAATAAAGGATATCGTTGTCCAGCACGATATTATTCAATGGTTTGCATTTATTCAATGGTTGCATGAGAGTGCCCTCTATTGAAGGCAATTAGCTGCATCTACTCTTAACAGTGTAACAAATGCAGTCCCGTAAGCCATAATGTTTTTGACATCTTGTTTAGCTATTATCCTTTTATAGGAACTTATTTTTATTTCCTGTTAAATACAACATCCCATCATTTAAGTCTTTTTTTTTTTTTCACTTTTGTGGCTGAAAGATTATTTGTGGAAAAAATGGAATAATTTTTTTATTTTATAGTTAAAAATACTTTGTTTCTTTACGTACCACCTATTTTTCTCTTGCGTATCACAGGTTGAGAATCGCTGGTATAAACTGATGTAGTCCAAAACTGACCAAGTGTAAAACTGATCAGTGCATCATACAGGAAGGCTTAACCAAAACAACAGATCATATTGCATCCTCGTTTGCGATAAAGAAATATTTTGAGCATTATTCCTGAAAAGTAGCTTTTTATGTTGAAAGAATTGAATAGAACTTCGCACACGAAGGTTTTCTAATGCGTTAAATATATAAAGTATCATTTACATTTTAAGCAGAAAAGTTCTGCATCCTATTTAACTTCCAAAGTCCAAAATAAAACAATTCAAGGGGGTCTACCGAGTTTATTGTTTAAAAAGACGTTCTGTCTCGAGGCGAAAGCTGTCGCATTGATAAATTTACCAAGTATGGACTATCATTTTCCAGCTTTTCAATCCGGTTCTGTCGATCACTTACCGAATGGCAAAAATCCCAGAATGCTGATATTTTTCTGAACTTTCCCGAAGACATCGCTACAAGTAAGAAGATAGTTTTCATATGTTTTGCACTACCAAATAACCCTATCTAATTAAAAGAAACTAGAATAAGTTAAAAAATAAGGCAAATGAAACTGAAGGGGATAATTCTTCTTAAAACACAAAATAGCTCTCAAAGCAAGCAGTATTAAATGCTGTATATTTGTCTCATGCACGCATTGTGATGCATACAGGAATTAGTAAGAGATTACGTGTAATAAATCAAAGTGTAAATAAGTTCTTGCTGCCAAACATGTAATAATTCCTGACTTAAAAAAATGGTAGCAGTTTTAGTGGTAATGGTTTCACATATATTTCTTTTATTTTTTCCACGTCTTGGATATGAAAAGAAATGCAGATTTAAGGTGAAAGAGTGCTTACTGGAAAATTTCTAATACATAATTCTTAAATATTTCAAGATTTTTTAAAAGATATTAAAGTTTTATCTAGTGGACTTGAACCAACATTTGGAACTTAACTTGCCAAGGATTATGTGCCTAAGGATGACCAAATATGTCACTTGCAGCGCCTTTACTGAAACAAAATTGCTGCTCATTGAAAATATGTCATAATTATAGCTCAAGTGCCTTTTAATTTCCTGCAGTTTGCTTAATTTCGTGATAATTGCTAACAGGCACGTATATTTTTGAAGTGAAAATTCTGAAATAAGTTCCTATAGTATTTTAAATTGAGAGATATTTAAAATTTAGCCTGAAAAATATAGTAAATACGAGTATTTTACAAATCAAAATTTGCTATTTGTAGAATGTATTTCATTTAATTTTGTTTCAGTGATAATCCAAATAATATTTGCAGTAATATGTCACGAACCAGTTCCCATGACAGCATCAGCCATGACTCTCACGTTACATGGAATGGTCAGAGAGTTTCATGCCGAGGTAACGTCAAGTCAACCAGACAGCAGGTGAGAAAACAGTTTAAGAGTTAATGGTAACAAATTTCTTTCATATAATCATTCTTTACGATCTATAATTAGATTTGAATTTATTATTTAAGTATCTACTATATTAACGCGGAATTTCGAATTTAATCTTTCAGATTCACAACTCCGGGTTTTGCATTTACTCTCCGAGAAAATGGGCTGGATTCGAATTTAAATTTTTACATTCTAACCACAATAAAAACCCTTTTAACAGAAACATTCAAATCATCTAATATTTTCATGACATAACATATATTAAGGTATTCGAAGTAAAATGTAGTAACAATAAAGTATCGCACATTAACAAAACAGTTCTCAAGCATTTTGCATTTAATTAATTTGTGATATAAAAACCAATCATGTCTAGAGTTCTGACAAATTTATAATATGATTAATAGGTTATTAAATGCAATTCTTATAGGTGAAGAGTCAATCAAATTCATCTTTGGTTGCTACCTGAAAACTGAAAATTATCAAAATTTTTCTGAATGATTCTTTTAACGGAAACGGAATTTCCTAAAGTTCCACGTGCTTTTCGTAAAATAAGTATTTTTCCAGCTTTTCTTACATAAATTAATGTTTTCAGCAGACATATAGCAAAAGGTTTTATGTAATGTAAATAGTATATTATTAAAAAAAATATCGGAGACTATGGCAGTAAAAAACTTAGCAATAATACACAATAAAACAAAGCATTCGGTAAAGAAAAATAGACGACAGCAACATTTCTATGTAGCTGTCTATCCATTCTTGTTTTATTTCTCCTAGTGGAATTGAACAGAAGCGGTAGAAATCAGATTTAGAGAAGTTTAAAGATATCATAAAATTTCCCCTGATGTACTGAGGAAATTTCTACAGCAAGCCATTGATTCTGAAAATCAAAAAATACCCTCCGCAAATAATTCACATAGAAATTCACATAGATTGTTCAAATATATTCAGATAATAATGACAATTCTCTCCAATTTATTACTAAATAAATTATAGAGACATTAGGATTTTTTGGAAGCAGGAGTGATGAAAAATGAGCTACGCCTTCGCCGGGAATCGAACCACGGACTTCTGGAATACTCGCCCAGTGCGCCCAGCCTGCTACGAAGGCATGCTAGCAAGGCGGGAGAAATACTTCATATACTCCTCCTCTTAAAGGGCGACTGGTGTTTAGTGGACCCGATCGCCAAATCCTGGGGATGGACAATCATCATCCAACAACCTTTTAAATCGAGCGCCACTGTAGAAACATTAGGGTTATTTCAAAGCAGAAGAGACGAAAAGTGAGCAACGCTTTCGCCGGGAATCGAGATAAGGACCTCCGGAATACGCGCCCAGGGTGTTGACCATTACACTACAAGGGCATGCTAGGAAGGCGGGAGAAATATCTTATAGAGTCATTAGGTTTTCTTGAAGCAGGAGTCATTAGGTTTTCTTGAAGCAGGAGTCATTAGGTTTTCTTGAAGCAGGAGACGTCCCCTCTCCGGGAGTGGAACCTTGACCTCTCGAATACGCGGCCAGTATGCTTTAGGAGAAACAATCGCCAGATCCTGATGGCGACAAGTTATCGACAAGCACCTTTTAGTTCGGGCGCCGCTGTAGAGTCATTAGATTCCTTTTTTAAAACAGGAGATATGAAAAATGAGCAATACCCTAGCCAGGACTTGAGCCTGGACCTCTCGAATATGCACCGAGTGTGCTACCATTACACCACGAAGGCATGCTGGAAAGAGGGAGAAATACATTATAAGTCTTTTCTTAATCAATCTCATATTTATTTCTTCGGCTTACTTTTTGTGCTGTTTTTCGGGATAAAATTGTGCTGTCTTATATACCATTTTAAGCATTTGAAAAGAGCCCGTAGTGTAATAAACAGATGAGTGTCTAAGATAAGTAATGAGACCATGCAAAAGTTTAAATTCTCAGTTCATCTGTTGAAGAGAATGAGTTAGCTGCTCATTGAAATGTTGTGCATTTCATTAAATTTTGTGGCTCATGTCATTAAATTTTCTAAATTACATAGAAATCTGCCTCTAACAAAAAATCGAATTACTCACGGGTAGATTACTGAATTAAAATATTTTATTTATTTATTTTTTATTTATTTATTTCTTTTTTCAGATTCATTGTCTTCAGAAAATTATCCAAAATACTTTGAACACGTTATTTTTATGCATGATTTGCTAAGCTAAATGGAGTTTTTACTTTAAAAAAATTAAAATAAAAAAAACTTTTTCCCCACTTCATCCCCAGCAAAAAGAGTTGCATTCACAGTATTTGACAGAATTACGCAAAAGTAGAATTTTATTTTGTTTAGTATAACTTTAGTTATATATATGTTTTACCAATAACATTTGCGGTATTAGACAGCGGAGAAAGACTGCTAACCTTAAGCCAAGAGTATGGATTTGCTTTACGTGTAATTAATTGTTTTATTGTATTGTCTTCCCCTTTCTTGCGAGTGTAATGATGTATTCTACGGTCGTGTTTCTTGGGCAACATTGTCGGCTATAAAATGTCTAAATGATCGATTTCCTGGGCTGTGTTTTTCGACGAATTCCTTAGTCAGCACGTGTGCGGCCACTTAGAAATATAGTATTAGAAGTATGAAATATAGTATTAGAAGTATGAAATATAGTATTAGAAGTATGAAATATAGTATTAGAAGTATAAATATAGTATTAGAAGTATGAAATATAGTATTAGAAGTATGAAGTATCGTTCGCAAGTAAAGATATATTATTGTTGTTTGTATATAAATGACTTGAAAGTTTCCTCATGTTTTTCATTTCTTCTTCTCGTGTTCACATACATGTTGACGATATATTAATGTGTGTCGTCAGTATGTATGGGAACGTAAAAATTCAGTTGTTCGTTTGTTCATTTTCCACTGTTGTTATAGTATTTTAAGTCTCAGAGTTGTAAAGTTTGTTTGGTTCTTACAATTTATTTAGCTGTCCTATTTTGATTCTGTTTATTCCATCTAAAAGTATATCTCCATACTTGTAACTGCAGCAGGTTTTCTTTCTAACCGAAAAAAAAGTACTTTTTATTAATTTTTTAAATTTTTTTTTCAACTTTCCACGGCATTTTATGTGAAGTAGTTTCAAATGTTCTCCTCCATTTAACATCACTGCTAAAGATGTTTTCCCATTAAACAGGTATTTCTTTCTTCTTCTGTCACCCATCCAGTGGCCTAGTGGATAAGACTGCTAAACGTTAGTAACTGAACCTGGGCCTGAATCCTGCTAATCAAGCTGTCTGCATGGGCATTTTCGTGGATTTAGGATGTATAATATGAATAACGACTAGGTTTCCTCAATACAGGCTTCTCTTCTCATAGGCAGATAATCTCTATGTACTAGCGTACGTGCCGCAATAAAATTATCGAATGCTCTTTCATTCCCAGGTTCACTCTTCATTAAATGTTTTCTCCTTGCAGTCCTAGGTCTTCTCATCTAGTAGGTACTATTTTATTTTCACGTTCTTCTCTTGACTACACGTTGTTTTACTTTTATTTTCATTTTTGGTCTCTCACTTGAGAAGCGTTTTGCTCTTATTCTGCTTTCAGTTTACCCGGTTTCAGTTTCTTTTTCCTGTATGCAGGATGATTTAAAATTCTTGAGCCAAACATTATGGAGTGATAAAAACCTTGAGCACTTGGGCGAAACGCAAGTTATGTAACGGAAGGAGTTAGCAGTAACAAGCGGAGGAATGGGAAAACTGAATAAATTAGAGAACGAAGTTTGCTGAGCAACTTCCGGAAATTACTTAAAAGAGCTACCCCCAAAACAATGCAGGCTTTACATCTGAGATATAGTGATCAGCATACATTTATGAAAAAAACAAGTATTTTTCTAGAAGCAGGAGCAGCAATAATATTCTCATTGTAATCGATGGAACAGCCATAGAGAAGGCTTTTCATGTAGCTCCATAGAAAAACTCCAAATTTTGGAGATCCGGTGACCGTACCGGCCGACTGATGGAGGCCACTTGAACTGATCCATCATTATGGAAATGTCGCATCTAAGGTATTCCTCATATCAACGCTGAACTGGGTGCTCCATCGTACTGGAATCACATACGTATTTTAATTTTGCTAGAAATAGGCTCAGTAATTCTTGTAGAACGTCTTGTAAAAAACGCTAAGTACATTGTTCTGTCCACTCGGACTAACAGGAAATCTGGGCCAGTCAAATGGTCGGGGATGATTCCAGCCCAAACATCTATTGGGAAACTCCTTTGGAGCGAATGTAGACATGGAGTATGCGGATTACTTGTTGCCTGCAAAGGTGACAGGTGACAGAGGATGGATGTGCCTCGTGGCTAACACTGGCAAGCAGTTATTTTCCAGCGCCCGCTACTATTGTATCTCCCTCGAGACCATGACACGTCTCAATGGGAGATGATTGTAAATATTTTCACATTTCCAAACTAGGGCTGTTAATTTAATTATATTTGTTGATTCGGAGAACATCCTGATGATGCTAACGTGATATTTGAATTATGTATAAATATATATATATATATATATACTCAACACTCATGAATACATAAAGTAAATATAAAATACATAAATCACATTTAGGGCCATAAAACGCGTATAAAGGAATGCAATTATTTAATCACTTATATAAAGTACATAAAACACTTATAAGCACATAAATCATATTAGGTGTTTATAAGTGGGTCCAATGTCTACTTGTGGACCTATAAAATACATATGAGCAGCGCAATTCAAAACACGGGGCATAATATTTACGTCATAATGCTGGCGGTATTTCATACAGGTACGTAAACATAAAAACAGAATATCCGATCTTCACCCCAGTCAGAAGAGGTCTCATCAGAGAGAATGTATCATATCATACATTACAATAATTAATACAGTGTAAGCCACATACCACAATACCATAATCTGATACAATAATCATAGACTTGAGAACATTTTACATATTATCACAAATAAAATCAATTTAAAGATATAGTAGCGCATTTTTTTAGAAAATATACGTTCCATAAATGGAAAAATAAAATATCTTCCTCGAACCGTTTGTACTAATTTAAACAACATATTTTCTGATAATACTTGTGAAATTAATTTTGATCTTTGAACATTCATACTTGGGGATTCTAGAACCAAATGCAGTGCATCATGTATGTCGACAAATACAGGATCAACTTGTTCTTTCAAATTTGTTCATACAGGTAAGGTGCAGTGAACTATCACATAGGAACACATTCATAGCTACATAAAACATGGCAAACTTAGGGAAATTTTGACTTAAACTAAATTATGATGCAGGTAAATGTTAAAAATGCTGTTTGACGCAGATATTAGTAATTTGAGAGACAGCACAATATGGAGGCAAAATGAATGCGAAAAGGTGAAATCATATTAGGTATTAGAATAGGAAATGCATAAAGCATGCAGTTAAAAAAATGCTGTGGCGCGAACTGGTACTTTACACGCAACGCACAAAAATACGCATGCCACTTAACGAGACAGAGCACTATAGGAGAGGATAAAAGTAAGTGGCGTATATAATACACATAGAATAAAAGAAATGGGCACGTATATACACATAAGCTAGGAAAAGACAAAATTGATCTTTTGCTGCAGGTAGTCGAATTATAGTCAGGATGAATATTAATTGTAGGGTAAGGTTGCTGTCAATGGGCCGGTTCTTTCGTTGAGCTACCTCCATTATTTTGAAGCTATTGGAAGCTATTTTGAAGCTATATGCGCTGCCTGTTAACTGTTTAGTGTACTACACGATGCTCGAAAACCACCATCTTGACTGTGAGCTGATTTTATTACTTTTCTTTTAATTTATCAATCTAAACAAAATATGGATATCAATGAGACATGAATAGTATTTTAGTTGTTACTGGTAGTATTTAAAACTGTGTTGAATCATCGTTATTTGTCTATATTAACAATGGTTGTTGTTATAACCGAAGTCACGGACGTATTACATACCGACTGTTAGTTGCCTGCAAAGAGCCAGCCTGAATTGTTACGAATGGGCTTGTGGCCCAACCAAGGAAACCATACTGAGGTTAATATTTTGCAACTTTTTAAAATTGAAGAATAAAATGTAACTCTATCTAATTTCCTAAACCACTATCAGCAGCAGCTATCAGGTCTAATTTAATCTGCACTTAGATATTGATCTCATTTTCTTTGTTATAAAAATAATTATTAGCTATTAATCTAAATTTAATCTAAATCGGAGTACCCCTAATTCGTATGTCAAATGAATATTTTACTGAAACTATCGTAATGATTTTCATTATTTCTTGCGTAATTTATGCCTATTTGTAGTTTTAAATTTGTATCTGGATCATAAATAGATTAAGGAAGCAACATGATGTAGGAATTAAGTCAGAAAATTAACAAATTCAGTGCTAGGGAAACACATTCCTTACTGTTGTGCTCAGCAAGAACTTCTAATAATACGCGCTTGATAGAGATTTTAAACAGTGCAGCCAACAGAAGCCAGGCTTACGGTGTACGATACATACTTTGCAATATGATAGTAGCTTTATGCTTTTCTATCGCACATATCTGATTCTGATGTTAGTCATATAAAATTTTGTTTCTCCTTACACTTTTTTATTTTGTTTTGTTTTTATTTTTTAGATTCTATTAGGAATTAAGTATCATAAAGGGGAGAAAGATAATGTTAGTCGTGCACTTGATTCAGCGCGAAATGGTGACATGGACGTGAATGAAGCTGCCATAACATTCCAAGGGCAACGTTGCAAAGACGTTTGAAGAGAAGAAAATGTTTTGCAGTACACCATAAAAAATTATAATTAGCACGGCTGATCTACCGGATGAAGTGGAACAAGAACTAGTGTCGGATGTCCTTAAACTAGATGAATTTTTGTTTGGGATAACACCTTGTGAGTTGAGCACCCTTGCTTTTAAAATCGCACAAAAGAATAAAATTCCTCACCGTTTCAACAAAAAAATAGCTGGTAAGAAGTGGTATTATTCTTTTATGAGAAGACATTCTGAGCTCAATTTGTGTCAACCAGAGACCACATCCTTTTTTCGGGCTAAAGGATTCAGTAAAGAGGATTTCAACCATTTTTCTGACTTATTAGAGAGGGCAGCTGTTGACGAGACTAAAGTCGATGTTTTCAATGCGGACGAGACAAGCTTGTCAAGAGTCCAAAAGAAACCTCGGAACTTTCTTGTTTTGAATGGTAAGATGGCTGTAGGATTCATTGCCAGCACAGAAAGAGGCTTTACTACAGTTGGCTGCGCATCTGCCGATTGACAATATGCCCCACCACATCTGCTATAAAAATGGAAACACTTTCCAGAAGGATTACAAGAGGGAGTTACACCAGGAACAATTTTTGCATACAATCCCGAAAGTGAATTCATAAATAAAGATATATTTGCACCGTGGTTAAAACATTTCGTCGAAACAGTTCACTCTTCGAAGGAAAAAATTTTTTACTCCTTCTAGATGGACAGCATGCTCACACCAGAAATCTCGAAGAATTATAACTTACTCGAGAAAATGGTGCTCTCACTCCTGGGTCACGCAACCCATAAGCTGCAGCCCTTTGACGTTTCGTTCTTCAAGCCACTGAGCAGTTTTTACCTTAATGAAATGGTAGAGAGAAGGTAAACCGAAAGTTATCACCCAGTTCTATGTAGCAAGATTGTTTGGTAAAGCATATGGACAAGCAGCAACAGTAGAGACGGCAATGAATGGCTTTGCTAAAACAGTAGTTCGGCCAGTGAACAGAGGTGTAGTTCAAGACTCTCATTTTGTAGCAGGAGTGCAGTTTGAAGCAGATGACGTTTCTGCTTTAGAAGTTCCTGACACAAGCCTAACTGCTTCTACTAATGGACTGTCACATAACACTAGGGAGAAACAGACTAGCTCCAGGGAGAAAATCTGTTGCAACCACCAGTGGAATACAATCAGAACCGCTTCCAGGTGATGCATCAACATTGGTGTCAAAAGTTAGTTTCTTAGGATGAATTTTCTCAGATTCCTTCTAAATTCTCAGTTGGAAAAGGCTCAAACAAAGCCCAAAAACAATACTGATAACAAGTAGCCCATCCAAGTAGATCCTGGAAGAGGCTAAGAAAAAACGCCAAACAAAGGCACCGCTGTGAAAAGACGACTTCAAGCTTTTGGACCTGAGAAGACAATAAGGGCTAAACTTTCATTGCCTTCAGTGAATACGCCCATTAACTCCAACGATTCATGGTTCTGTACTGTCTGTTGTAATTACTGCAAGGGAGACATAATTCAGCCTCTGTCGTGTAAAATGTGGGTTCATGAGAAGTGTGCTGGTGGTAGAAAGGGGATCAAAATTTTTGTATTATTGAGAAAAATGCAACTAAACTCATCAAGAACGAATAACTGATGCAGTAATTTGAATAAGATAAATAGCCTAATATTAGTAGTAGGCCTAGTAATTATTTTGCGCTATTTGGAAGTTTTCAAGATAAGATTATTGTTCTTTTTATACTAACCTAACTATAAATTGCCCTCAAATACTCATTTTCATATAATTTTTCTAATTAACGAAATTCAATATTATTTCGTAGATTCTCACATTAGGCCTATTTTATGGTTATAGAGAATAAACTAAAATCCTACTCCTGATTCCTCGTGAATAATGAGAAGCTAGCAATAGTATGTTTCAATGTATTTTCATTGGTTTGTGTTGGTTTCTAACCAGCATTTCATATTTACGAATCCTGCTCAAAATAGTCTTAAATATTTTGTTGACTTGTATTAAGTTGAATGTAAGTATTAAAATGAAATAGTTACCGGCTCATTTATAGAAACTTCCAGACCCAATGAAGGTGACTGGTTTCCTTCACTAGGCCAGTGGCACTTATACTTATTTTGCTAGTATTTACTGAATATGTGATAATTGCAACATCTCTTTCTAGATATGTGCGGTATGAAAGGTAATATTTACACTAACAATGTACAAAACTGCAAAATTGCCAAATTTGACGATTTTGAGGATGATTTCGTTTAAATGGCCCATCGATATCAACCTTACCCTACATTAGAAATTAGTACTGTAGTTGCCACACAGATACTACAGCGTATTGCCCTAAGGTCGTCATAACATTGATTACGTTGTATAACCGTCACCGTAGCACCGGAGTTCAGAGGATATAACGCTTATATGCTTTGAGAAAAGTTGTGGGCAGTCGAATGTGCATTGAGACACTGGGCGGGCAGGCAGTGATATAGTAATCTGGATGGCCCTGTTGCCCGCAGAGACATGTATCTGTACTGCGATAGCAAACCTGGGGTAATAAAAAGGAAAACGAACCATGGCCGTTGAAGTAGAGAGCAAGTTGCGGAGCTGAGAAGAATCGGGACATGGTGACTGGAATGCAGTCTTTTGCACTCACTAGTGTCCCATTTATTCTGGCATTTATGAACAACTGTCATTGCAATTTGTATCTTCAGATAAGAATGCTGGATTGGAATGCATTGCAGTTATTAGCTGCCAGTGCATCAGCTAACTCATAGCCATGAAGTCCTGTGGATGTACCGTCAAGTGTGATCCATCGGAGATTGATACGAAGAGCTGGGTTGCATCTTAGTTATATCCGGATGTTTGTAGTAAGTGGTAGCGTACGATGAGGATTACAGGTAGCGTGCAGCATAGATAGGCTGTCTGTATCAATGGAGGTTCCTTAATGATGCATCTCTATAGCATAGGCAATTGCTTACTTTACTGCCATCGCTTCTGCCGGAAAGCCACTATTATGATACTATCTCGAATAAGTAGCTTTTTCAAAAATGAAATTTGTTCACATCGTCCATATGAACTAAGACGCATCCTACTCCGATAGCACTTCTGGAGCCGTCTGTACAGATAGCGGGGCAAAGTGCGGTAATGTTTGCTTCCTTTGCATATACTCTTAAACCTACGTCTTTGTCTGCGGAATGAACATGAGGGAAACGATCACAGGTTTTTTTTTTTTTTTTTTCTTATCTGGGCTATAGGTATGACTATTATATTATTCATTTTGAGAGAAAAGAAGAAGCTTCGCTGTTATTGCCTCGTTTTCTAGTCGTATATTTATAGGAAATAACCCCGCTAAGACAATAATGGTATCCATAGCTGTAAGAAGTGGTTGCTTACACATTATAACTATGGCAATTAAAAAAAAATTCCTCTGGTATAGAGGTGCATGCGTTAGTGAATAAAACATCTGCAGTAAACTCCCGCTGTGTTGAAATATTCTAAAGAAGCTAGTATGTAAAACTGACACAAGGCTGATACTCTGAAGACCTTGCACCTTTTCTGCGTGGTAGGGGTGTAAATTGTAGCAAGTTTTCTCTGCAACATATGTCGTCGATGCATTGTTTGGATGCCCTGTATCTCTCAAGCTGCTTGTAAAAGAGCCTATTCCGCACAGATACCGCTGAAATCGCTGCATGGTTTTAGGGTATGGCACACATATTCTCTGGATTCTTCAGCTGCATTAAAATCTGACTATTATTATGCTTAAGCTGCTGCTGTGTGTTCTCAGAAGGAGGGAATCTACTAACTATGCACCATGGCCAAGAGCCGGGAGGACTAGATAGGCGGCATTACTAAAATATATGTTACTGAATTACGTAGTTACACAAGGCCCTTGAAACAAATACATTGGGGTCCTGTGTTCTGTGCTTGAGTTACATTGCACTGTCTACTGAGAAATGCTATTTTAGTTGTATTCTGTTACCCTATAAAAGTTGGACAAAAACGTGTTGAATCCCCCTGCATGCAGAATTGCTTCACTGCTAATTTTCTTTGAAAGGTAAACTGTACTCCATGCCTCGTCGATACAATGTTAAAATTATCAAAGTACCATGATCTTTCTCAGCAAAATTTTTGTTCTTGAATTTAACTTTCAATTTGAATATATGTGCAAGTAATTTTATTTTAGACCAATATCTAACAATCTTATAATGCTGTCTCCTTGCACTAATGAACTTTTAAATTTGCAAGATATCATTGATTTCAAAATCGAGATGTAAAATCCGGGTAGGAAAAATTCTTTTTTTTTTTTTAACAAAAGGCAAATTTTTAAAATGCGATGTTTAGTTTGTAGAGACATTAGGTATTTTTTGGAAGCAGGCAAGATGAAAAATTAGCAATCGCCTTCGCCGGGAATCGAACCACGGACCTCTAGAATACCGGCACAGCGTGCAGACCACCACACCACGAAGGCATGCTAGTAAGGCGAGAGAATTACCTTACATATTTTCCCATTTAAAAGGCGACTGGGGTTTATAGAGGGACCCAGTCGCCAAATCCTGGGTGCGGAGAATCATCATCCAACACCCTTTTTGTTCGGGCACCAGTGTAAAGACATTAGGTTTTTTTTGGAAGCAGGAGAAATGAAAAATTAACAACCGCCTTCGCCGGGAATCGAACCACGGACCTCTGGAATACCGGCCCAGTGTGCAGACCACCACACCACGAAGGCACGCCAAGAAGGTGGGAGAAATACCTTATAAGTTAAAAATGTATATATTTCGTTTTTAAATATTTTATAGCAACTGAAGCCTTAAACAGCTAGTACATCTCATCAATATAAATTTAATTAAAGCGTGATGTTTATGATCTGTATTTATTTTAGTGAATTTCTGTTTATTATAACTGATTTTCAAAAGTTTTAAAATTATAACCACTTAAGTGCTTGTAATACAGTCGCTTTTAAATTAACAGTTCCGTCTTTTGCAGACTTTTATGCTACTGTAGCCGTCTGACCTAGCCTTCTCATTTATGAGTCGAAACTTTAGTTTGATATTAGTTTCAGACTTGGCGCTTCCAACATATATCAATAGAAGGTGCAACTATTGCATTAGCAGTACAATAATATAGAAAGGCTGCTTCAATGGTAACAAAGGACGTGATATTTTCTACTGTTCTCCATGCCTCGTCGAAAGAATATGACCTAGCCTTCTCATTTATGAGCCGAAACTTTAGTTTAATATTAGTTTCAGACTTGGCACTTCCAACATATTTCAATAGGCGGTGCAACTAATGCATTAACAATAAAACAATACAGAAAGGCCGCTTCAGTGGTAACAAAGGACGTGATATTTTCTACTGTACTCCATGCCTCATCGAAACAATACGTCATATCATTGTCGCTACTAAGCTCTTTTCGCTCATACTCCCTTCAACGCACCGGTATGACACTCTCTGGAATGTCCCGGGTCGCACTGAGGGAGGATATTCTCGGAAAATATAGGCCATATGTAATTCTGGACTATGAGCATGTCTTTAGTCTAATCGCTATGGCATGCCGAAAGGTCGGAAAGAATTTTATTCTCAGTTGCCAAGGTAATTTATGGAGAAAAAATTCAAATTCATCGTTATTATTCAAGAATCCAACATTTATTGAATTTTGTACGGAAACTAATTGCAATTTAATTTTTAAGTCGTTTAATTTGTTAAATAATGCAACTATATGTTATTGCTGTGTGTATCAAAGCAATCAATCCATTTATTTAGGCAATCTGTAGAGCAATGGTTCTCATCCTTTTTTGCCCCATACATCCCTTTCGGCATTGCTAAAAGATAATTCCTTCCTATCCCTTTCCAAAACTAATAAATCGCATGTACATTTATTTAGATTTAGATAATTTTTTAACGGAACATGCTTTAGAACCCCTGCTCTAGAGCATTCTCACCATACACGAACTTACTCCAAAGCACGTGCACGGAATAATTTTGATACTTATTATACTACTGTGATAAAGTAGTATAAATTACGAATTTAAAATATTCGTAACTTAACAGTTATAGCTTTGTTTGAACCGAACAAACGGATCGAAACTTTGTTTGCATATTCTGACTCAAAACTTATTAACGTAATTTTCCGATGTTAGCGACAAAAATATCAATGTATCACAAAAATAATTAGTTTTCTTTAAAAGATGAACACAGAATTACTGCTACTAATATTCCTCAGCTGAGATGTTTTATGTCATTAAAATGATATGTTTTTGTTAGAGAACTTTATGCAGTTTACTCTGATGAAGAATTTCTTATAATATATGATTGAAGATTGTAATTTTGTAATATCCGAAGGCCATCGGCGACCATGACATTCGCGTTTTCACCGGAAACCACACACTCTTTGGACGGGCTAGGTTATTTATATCACACAGGGGAGTTCGACACAAATATTTCATACTTGTCGGGAGCCAGAAATATGGCTATAACAATCGCCATTAAGAATAAAATCTATCACAGTATCAAAGGCCATTAACTATGTGTAAATATCCAAAAGTGAGGAAAATATTTAGAAGTCGATTAAAAAGTCGATTGTATGTCCTTAAACTTTAAGCTCATAATGTGGCTAAGACGCTAATAATAAACATTATTGCGATGTTTCAATAGGAAATATACGATTCATTCTTCTTAATGAATTGCTTTTCAGTCTGTGCATTAAATATATAACATTTTTCAGAAACTCCGCTTTTCAACACTAACAGGCGAATCAGTTTACTAATTAGTGAAATTAAATTTATTAGGATCACTTCACTTAATTCCTTGTGTTCCGTGTTAGGGCATCTGTATTAGGGCATTTGCTTTAATATTTTACAGTTATTTATAATTTGTGTTTATGTTAATTTTTTAATTTATTACATGCATTAGTTTACAGTATTCGTTCTTTAATTTTCTATTTCTCTTGAATTTTCTAACTCATTTTGTTACGATTATTTTCCTTTTAAGAGTAGCTAAACCTCAATTTTTGCTAATTTCGATTCCTTTTTTTTTCAGGTGATTAAAATGCTAATCCTTGTAGTTATTCTATTTCTGGTGTGTTGGGGTCCACGACTTATAATGGAAATCATTCTTAAATGCTGCCTGGATGTTTTCAATCATGGAATTTATACCACCCGTTTTATTTTTTATTTGCTACCCTTCGTTCACAGCTGTCTAAATCCTATGGTTTATTGCTTCATGTCTAGCAAATTTCGTCATCGCCTGTTGCATTGCTGCTGCAGAAATAAACAGCCGGAACATCATCCCATGCGACTGAAGAGCTCTATGTTAAGGAACAGCAATTCACGAGTTGGATCGTCTCACACATTTTCATCTTATACTACCAGTCCATGCGCTGAAATTAATCAACTCGCATTGTAATGCTAAAATAATTTTTATTTCAGCTTTTGGGTGAAACGCATTAACGTTTACTCAAATTCGCATGACAATTAACCAGGTGTCATTAACTTTCATCTTTCTGAATATTTTGTTTTAATTCACTTTTGCACATCGGATGTTAAATAACAGCATTATTATACAGATTTTCATATAAACACTGATTGTCACGACCTCTTGTCGAAAGATGGGGTAATGTTAGTCTTAGATGTTTGCATAATTAAATAATCTTAGGACCAGAGATTAGAGCGTGAACTATCTTGAAAAGTGAACAATCGAAAATTAAATCGTATGAAGAGCACTTTTATCCTCATTTAAGTTTACACAAGAAAAGTACACATAACAATGCACGTTTCAAATTAAAATATATTTTAATGAAAATAAACAAAATGAAAAAGAAATTAAGAGTTCACCTTAATTCATTTGCTATCTTCCTGCTGTTGACTAAGTATGAACCATTCCTATTATGAAAAATTGAGTACGCTATGTGAGTAAAATTTATTTAACACAAAAAAAATTTTTTTGCTTTCATAAATTTCAAACATATTTTTTCTAAGAAACATCAATATAATCATCCCTACTTACAATTTTAAATATCCTTTTTTCATTCTACATTTCATAATATGTTTAAAACGCAAACCTAACTTGCTTATTCCTACACAGTAAAACTGACAGTTTTATACAAATCATTTTTAGCATGGAAGCAAATAAAAAACTTATATTAAATTTAATCTTAACTTTTAACGAAGCCCAATTTCTTAAACATATAATCAAAGGCGCTTCATATTGCAAAAAAATGGATTTCCTTTGATGCAGATTAAAATCAAAATTATTGATAACAAAAAAGTAGCAGTTTTTTTTTTCCTTTTAGTCCATTTTTCCTACTGATGTAAAAATGTTATATGTAATATTTTCTACAAATTTAAGAGTATTATATTTTGGACTTCACTACTTCACGGATCCTCATTAGCCTTACAAATAACGAGAATAATTAGGCATTCAGTTTTAGTTAATAAACCATCACCTAGAAAAATCCACATTATCAGCCAGAGAGCAATGCCTGAACAATGCGTGTAAGATAATTTCTCAACTCTTGCAAAATAATGTCAAAACCTCTACTATTTATGCTATGGAAAAAAGAGACATAAACTTCACTTTATGCATAGAAGTTGGATTATGAAACTGAAAATGGGGAGTAAATTCTACGTTATGCATCGCCTAGATCATAGTCAGAATACCTGCACTGTTAATACATTTCTATATCTTTGAGCTCCATAACAATAACCTTTGAAAGAATTTCTTTTTAGAATGGATCTATGTTAATTTAACTATGAAATTAAACTCATTTGCTTGAATATGTTTTAAAATTAAACTCCTATGTTTAAGAATTAAGGGTTCTTAATATTTTAAATGTATAACAATTATGCAGTTTTAAAATTATAATTGCCACAGTAGCAGAAGCAGTTTACTTTCATTTTAACTTTTAAATGTCTCATTTTCATATAAAGAGTTTAAAAATTGAATTTTATGTATTATGCGCTCTAATGTTTTCAAAATACTGATACTGCATCATTTACTCTACAGATGATACTGCATCTTTATTGTAATAAATCAAATCTTAAAATACCTATGATTTTGTTTATATTATGTTAATTGTTAAAAGACATTTCTACGGCACTCACACGTTTGAAAGAGATTATTATATTATATGTTCAGGACCGTCTAAAATTTTCACCCATGTGTGCAAAAATGCATGATTTCTCCAGTTAACCATTGTTGAGCATTATTTTGAGAGCATTATAAATTTTATAAAATAAAAGCTGCGAATATTTTTAACGTTCAGTAATCTATGATTTGCATAAAATGCCAGTTTTTCTTACTTTAAAAAAAAAAAAAAAAAAAAAAAAAAAAAAAAAAAAAAAAAAGATTGTTAGATATCCGATTTAAAATATTTATTAATACTACTAAAAAATGAGCAGTTAAAATTTACAGATGGTTTGAAAGCGACAGAGTGTTGACAACAAACATCATTTGAAACAACAGACTGTTACACAAACGATTTGAAAACAGGCATGTAATCTAACAGTGATTCCAAAAACTGATACGGTCTTTCAAAATTAATAATAATTTCCGACTAAAGGCAAAATTTGGGTGTTTCATAGATCTATTTTTGTATCACATTATTTCATAGATCTAATATATAGTTCACTTTTTAACAGCTATAACTTGAAACTGAAAAAAAAAACACCTTAATAAACAATTGCTAATTTTGTATTCAAAATACTAAGATTACAAGAGTTTAATTACTTTAAAACAATGAAAGGAAGTATTATCCCTTATAATAACCTTTAAGCAGCATCGTACTGATTCTACCTGGCAGTTTTAAATATTTTATCCCGTTATTCTTGCAGGATGTCTTTCAAAGAATCCTTACTTTTTATTTATATGTTTCTAAACTTGTCTTGAACCCAGACAAAAAAAATCACTAAACTTCATGCTAGAGTTGGTCAGGAGATTGTAGTTTAGAGTAGAAAAATTTCGTTATATTGAATTTCAGGTCCTTATCTCATTGGAATATGAAATTTCCATCGTAGTATGAAATTGCCACCAATTTAGCTTAAACTTTTTGTAGCATATTCTGTAAAATTTTCCTTCAGTATATCTAAATGAAGAGTATTGTTCTTGACAGAATCAATAAATACAGTTATAACACTACGCTTACTACTATTCATCTCCGTTCTACCATTCATCGTCCTACTGAAATTAAACGTTTTGGATTAAGTGATGTGCTTTTGTTTTGTATAAACAATAAGATCCTGATATGTTCCAAAAAACTGCATTTAATCTCCTCAGTCAATTCCAGAAACTTTGATCTTTGATAAATGGTTTTTACTAATAATTAAACGTTTGCCTCTATCCTGCAATCTGACAAAACGTTTCTGCAGGCTACTTTGCTTTGAGCTAGGTTTTCAGATATTAAGTACCCTTTAGATATAAGCATATATCTTTCATCAAATATCTGTGCATTTATTTATAGTCATAAAGCTTGGTTATATTACGACCATCATCTCTCAATTTTTCTAAATTAAGTATTGCACTTTGAATGTAAGGAATTATATCTTAAATTTTTGTAGTCACTATAGGTCTAGGAAGCAACATTTAAGTCTACCTCCAAACATGCAAAATTGCTTTCTCTCATGCTTCTAAAATAAAAGTTTTATATACAGGAGACAACATCTCTTAATGATTCAGAAGTAAGAATAAACTCTATCCTCATTTTTAAATTAATAAAATCTCTGTAAATAAAAGAATTTTTCTGTCATTAGCTAAGTAATTATCCTAACTATTGCATTTCACAAGTATAGAGCTAGCAAAACAAATCTAGCTTTTCACAAGAAGCAAAATATTCATTTTCATATTCTGCCTGTAAAGCTTTTTCAACACTAATTTCAGTTAGAGTTCGGTGACTCAAGTTGATATCTAACAGTTCTGCACGTACGTCATCCAGCCTTGTTCATTCACTTCACCGCTTTTACAAAACGAAATCTCTGTAGGCCCAGTATTCCTGAAAAGAAATAAAAATTAGTTTTCAAGATTATTCAAGAATATTATTATATGAAACCTCTTGCCTATTAGTTTTCTCGAACAGTATATTTTAGTTGCACTTAGTTATTTGTTCAATAAAATAAATGAGCAATCTAATACAAAAATTATCAACTGACCATTTTTTTCTCTGGTTCATTTCTATTGTTCAGAATAGTATAAATTAAATTCGCAATATTACAATGAACGCACATCTCGTTTTGTATTAATTTTTTAGTCGAATAATTTGTATCACCACAGAAGTTTTACCTCGGTCTTTATTTTTCTAGTTTATGAGCGCTTTATAGTTTTTTTTTATTATTTATTTTGTGTTTAAATAAACCGGTGAGCTATTAATATGAAATACTTTTAAAACCATACGCAACTGGAAACGACTCAGAAAAAAAAACGAAAGTTGAAAGAGAGTCATGTTGTAATGAATTCAATCAAGTTTCAATCGAGGAACTTTGAAATTTCCAAATTGCTGTTTTACAACAATTTATTTAAAAATGCGACTTTCAGTAGTTCTGGACATTCTGCAAGAACACCTTAAACTGCAGTTAGAGGGCCATGATCATGATGAACATTCACATTTCCAGGAGAACGGAGCAGAACTCCTCATCACGTGAAAGAAGTAAGTGGTACTTCAGCACTTGTTTATCAAACAGATGGATTAGTTAGACAGGTGTATTCTGCATTTTTTCGATGTTTGCCCAATATTATACCACCAGACCTTTTCTTTCTCGTTGGACGTTGCAAAAGATGAATATACATAGCAACAATACCACTCAATGTTCTAAAATTACTGCTTGAAGTTACACATGTTATGCTTTGGGGCATATGGCAAGAAATTCAATCTAAGATGATGTTTTGATGTTTTTCTGGATAATTACTATTTTGAATTGCAACTGCCAATGTTTAAACTTTAAATGTTCTTGTGAATTTACATGGTAATAAATTTGTTTTATCTCTTACTGGCTATTTTCTGTTTTTATACAAAGTTGCATATTATTAAAAATGTTTTTCAGACATATTTTTGCTTTATTATTTTGCCTCCTAAAATATCATAAGCCTCCAAGAAACTGTGGCAGAATTTAAAAAGCGTACATGTTAGTTATACTCTCCCTAGGGGAGTAAGATTGGTATTTGAGTAACTTATCAAAAAAGACAATGTTTTTTTTTTTTTTTTTTTTTTTTTTTTTTTTTTTTTTTTTTTTTTGCATTAAAGATTCTTTTTATTAAAAATTCCTTTACGATTAGCTATTTAGAGGACTTACAACGTTTAAACGTATTCAAGGATTTTTTTTGCATGTACTGACGACCTTAAGTCGGCAAAACATAGCCTGTATTGGAATCTCCAGCAATAGAAGAATATTTTAATTTAAAATAAACAGGCTCAAAATTTCATATAGCACCTTAGGGATGCTATTCGAAAATCTGAGCTATAGGAATTCTTACAAATTTATCATCCAATAAATATTCTTGTAATCACGTTAAGTGCCTGTTCATAAATAGAAAATTGTTGGATTTTCTTTCGCGTGCTTTCGTAGTGTAATTGAAAGAACGCCGAGTTGGCAACTGGGAGATCCGAAGTTCGAATCCCTGCGACAGTACAGATTACTTTTCATATTTTCTGCTTCGACAAGTACCTAATCATTCGAATGATTTAAGGCAAAAAATTGCATATATTGTTTCTATGCTTTATATTAAAAAAATGTCTGTTTGAGCTAGAATTTTAGGATTTGAGCTTTGTATATAAGTATATAGTTCTCAAAACTTGTACATAATGTATCTCCGTTAAAAAGCCGTACATCTTATTTCATTTAAGCTTTCGAAATGTTCAAGCCGAATGAAATTATATTCTCGATAAAACACTTAGACAAGTCGTTCGTGAGGAAAACTTGCCTATCAGGAAACTGAAATTCTCTGATGAAAGATACAAACCTATTATGACGCCTCTCTAGACCCAGTATTGTTAAAGGAAATACGAAAGCATCGCCTTCCGGACCAGTGGAAAGCGCTAGGCCAGTTACTAAGATAATCAAAACTGACCTTTTAGTTCAAGACGAAGGTTGGATTTCATCAATGAGACCTGCCAAATCTCGTTCTTCAGTATAATGCTCGAAGGCCTCCATTTCAAATCTTTCGCTTAGTTAAAAACCAATTTAGAAATTTTCCAAGACAAGCCGGAGCCTGTGCCAGCTGATGAGACAAGAAATGAAGAAACGCCAAATCGATCCAAATCCTGTGCTTCAGCTAAATGAAAGACTGCCACTAATCATCTGTCATCGGCCGGAAGGCACTTGGTATGAACTGAAAAATCGCTTTACTCAGCATGTATTAAAAGGCTTTATCGGAATTTTAACCAGATAATCCATCTCAATACATTCATCTCAAGTGACCAGCGCGGCGAGGCTCTTGGACTTTTGATGAAGAATGATACACGAATTAGTACATTCAGAGCCAAGGTGGAAATTCCGTTAAAAGTCGTTCTTCACGGCTTACCTGTTAACGCCAAATACGATGAAATAATAAATTAACTTTGTGCTAAGGGCCACCCAGTACAAAAGTTAAAACAATTATCAAGGAAAGCTCCCGATCGTGAAGTGATGCTTCCTATGTTTTTCGCAACTGTGACGCAGAAAGAAAACTCTACGCCGTGAAAAGCCTTCCGACCTGGTTGTGAACATCAGAAGATACCGTTCGAAGTAAATCTGATCCAGTGTTACAGATTTAAAAGATTTGGAAGCGACCAAATTTTCTGTAGTAACAAACCAAATGCCTCAACTGTTCTGGAGACCATTTGACCTACGCTTGTGAGCTCCCGAAAAACGCAACACCAACCTGCCTCAGATACAAGCTACATCACGTCTCCTCATTTAAGGGTTGTAAATTTTCCTCTAAAATTTGCAAAATGAATTATAAGGTAAAAAAAAACTCCAAAGCTGATGAATTCCTTTCCTGCCATTGTTCTCAATTTCAAGAAGCTACCTCAGGAAAGAACTCTTCCTGTACAAGCGCAGAGTGTTTCTACTGAAGAAACTATATCCAGAGTACTACATATTGCTGAAAAATACAAAAAGACGAAATCGCGAATTCAGGAATTGAAGCTAGCTATCGCTCTATTAAAAATTTGCAAAAAAAACTATATTTCTCCAAATCAACGAGTGATGAAACAACGTGGACATCACTTGACATCAACCAACCATGCCCAGATACCTTTCTGGCCCGCCTTTTTTCTCCGAAGCTGAGTAGCCATCTTTCCACCCCAGAGATAGTGACATGCTATCGCTAGGCCTGCTGCTGTGCTTTTCTGCTTCCTTCTTCTTTTTGCCTTTTCTTTTCTCCTACGCGTTTTTCATCTCAGGAACTTTTATTAACTATCAGGCCTTGTTTGGGATTTCTTGTCTGGTAAGAGCGGAAATAATTCCTGCTACACACCTGAATAAAAAAGCAACCATCATGGCATCATCAAAGGGATTTAGGGTCAACGTTAAAACGAAATGATTAATTTTCAGAGCATCTTTCTTTATTTTTCCCATCATTCAGACAAACTAGGATTTAACTGAACAGTTAAATGTGAATTATTTTATGTTAAAAGTTTATTGTGCTTTCCAGTTTTAATGTAAACCGGAGCTCGGAAGCTATATCAACATCCTCAGCTGTCTTCCGTGGCTCCTCCTCTGTGGCTTAAATAATACCTTTACAATCGTAAAATTAAAATTATGCTTTAATAATTTTCAATGCTTTACATTAGGTAAAACGCGCGGAGCATTTTCTGTATGAGCAGAACCGTGAAACTAAATTTAGAGTTAATTACACTGAACCTTCCTTTATGTGTGTTATCGTAATTCTGCTTCATAGGTTTTCCTGTTGAAAATCAGCTGTGTATATGCGTGGATATTTCTATTTCGTAGCAAAATCTTTCCGGTTTAAATCAGAACTAAATAAGATGCATGGTAATATTCAAGAAATTAAGATGGTATTTTGCATAATTTAGGAATATACTTCATGAAGAGTAGGAACTTACTCTCCAGATGGGTCAAAATTCAATAATGTTATGTTCATCATTGGAATGTTGACGTTTGAATCTCGGAAATTCCAGACAGGTTGTCCAGAGTAGAAATGTTCATCGTAAATTCCTGGTTCTTCCCACCTCGCAGATACTTCTCGTACATCTCCAATGTTTACTGAAGATGTGACAAGGAAAGTATATTCTTTACCATCATGCATGCTGTAGAACCTGAAATGAAAAATTGAATTAATTATAAAACTCTCTTAAACGCTTTTGGAAAATATTCAGATCTGTTGTCAGCTGAGGGGGAATACTGGCTTGCTATAAACGCAAAAGAGAGCTTAGTATGTGTTTTAAAGATTTCAAGGTAGAGTTTTCTAAATTCCGTTATAGGAAACTTTTAAGAGCAAAATATCCATGTAGACAAGAGAAAGTAAAAAAAAACTGTTTTAATTCATTAAATCTGTAAGAATATTATCTTCAGTTAGAAAATATCATTAAGTAACTCATTATGAATTCATGAAAATTCCTGCTATATTCATGACAATCATGCTTTTAGATTACGAAAAATAAAATATCATATGAAATTCATATTTCAATATTATATTTTCAGAATCACCAAGAAAATAGTAACTTTTCTAAAACTTATGTCAATATTTGATGCAAATTTTAAAATAACATAAACAAAACCAGAAAATATAAGTAATTTGGTTGTAACTAATTTCTAAGATGATACCGTTGAGAAACAGACTGGTTTCTAAATTTTATATCTTCATGATCATAACACGAAAAAAATTAAAATGTGGGAAGGCTACACTGCAATAAAAACAAGGAAAGTAAGAATTAATTTAATTGCTCTGAACAAGAGCATTTTCATAAATATTTTAAAATTGTCACAGAAGCATGCCACTTGTATTTAAAAAATAATACATGAATTATAATAGAAATGAACTTATCTTAGACTTTTACTCAAAAGAAATTGTAAAATAACTGAAATTCAAATCTTTGTGGTATTGTTTAGTTTTATTTAAACAATAAGCCTGTTTAATCGGCTTTCTTTCACAATTAGTTCAGTTCCTACGAAACACTCTTACCGGGCATTAATCCTATCCCGACCTTGAATGGCTGTTGTAGATTCCCGTAGTCACAGCTTCCTTTGATAAATATTTATTGAAAATCAACAGTATATTAATTGATAAAGAAACAATGAAATATACATGATGGAGCTTCATCTTCTGTGCTTTGCATTCATACAATAGCAAGTCGAAACAAAAGGTATCGCCTTTTCTTTTCGTTCCGCTTCTTTCACTAACCTTGACCCTATTTGGCGTATGTGCTTAACCATCTGCATCGTCCGAGAGTTCATTTTAGGATCATGTAAAGCAGAGAGTCGAGGAGTGTATGAAAACAGAATTATGCACGGGCTGTTTATCTGAGTCAACACTGACATGAAAACCAGTTGTTGGTGGTCTTATTACTGGCTTTGGAGAAATCTCCTAAACTTATACCAGTTTTAAAATCTATTTCCAAAGCATTTGTAGGATATGAATTCTTGTAATTCCACCGGCTTTAACTGGTTTAAAAATTAGTTCAGACACGTCGATGAAATAATGAGCAAATATGCAGGCTGTTTCTTGTGGATATATTTGGTTAGTATTCGCATTAACTGTTCTATATTATGTGGTCTTCTCATTAATGTTTCGTTAATATCGCCGCCAAGTTTCTGATTTTCGTTTTAAAATTAGTTAATTTCACTTCGATGCCAAGATTTCTACAACCTGTTCCTTAAAATAGATCACTTCAATGCTGCTATGTAAACACAGGTGACAGGTGACGGAGGACAGGGACGCCTGACGTATAACATAGGTAAACAGGCATATGTCCCACGTCCTCCACTATCTCGAAGAAGCAACTCGCTGGAGCCCCGTGAGGCTGCACCAGGAGTTTACATGGCCATACAGGGGCTAGATGTCGGGTAGTTTTTACATAGGACGTTGTTAATAACACAAAGTAACTTAGAAAGAATATAAAGGATAGCATTAAAACACCTAAAACACTCATATAAGCTGAAAACACATAGATATACAAAATTAAAACGTAAAAGCATAAAACACACTCCTAATTACGTAACATAAAGACATAGAAACACACACGAAAATACATATCATGACACATAAAATACATATGGAAACACGTAGAGCACATAAATGCAAATATTACACTCAGAGGAAACATATAAGACATAGTAAGGTGTGCGTAAAGCAGTAGTGGTGTGCGGAAATATGCTCAGTTTCCCATAATACATAATGTACATACTTTCATTAGGGGCTTCTGTTGCATGAATTACATATTTCGTTGCATACACTACATTCGTGCATTGTACGGTATATATTATTTCGATTTACGATAACACATCATTCCATGGGTGCCCAGTGCTTTACACTGATAAACATGTCAGTAACATTATATCTGCAAGTTGGTGGCTATTGAAAGCAGATGTTAACACGAGGCTCGAAATTGAATGTGGAATGTGTATTACAGAATGTGTACATACTGCGAATATCTAATAGTTGAGTACATTGTCTGCAGTACCATGCTACTGTGGCTCGCAAATGTCTTGCCCTAGGGCGTTGATTTGCTGTACAACTGCGCAGATGCTCCTTATAGCTGGCGGGTGTTTGATTATGAGACGATAGTAAAGTGTTCTATCATTCGTTGGATGTGGTAAGTGGTGGTTTGTTGTTAGACTGCAGTCAAATAGATAGTGCTCGGGAGAACCTAGCATGCCACAGACACAATTGTCAGATGCTGAGATGCCATGACGCATAAAATAAGATGGAAATGGGCCATGACCCGTTATGTACTGTGTCAGTGGGGCTATTGTTATAAGACGTTCCGTGTCTATCTTTGGTAGGAAGTTATACGTCCTTCTCCCTGTGTCGCCACTATTCCATTCTTTTTTTTGCCACTTTTCTTTACAGATGTTACGCAGAGTTTTCTTGAGGTGTGAGACGGGGGTTAGGGGCACTTATAGTTTTGAGCGTGGATGTTGTTGGCAGCCTCATTAGCCAGTCGGTCTGCGACGTCATTCCCTTCGTTGTCGGAGTGTCCTTTCACCCATACCATGTTAAAGCGGGGGCTTGATGATTATTGCGTAAAAGTTGCTGTATATCTATGATGATGGGTGAAGTGTGGTGATGATCCCTGAGTGCGTGTAGCACTGACATGCTATCTGTGTAAAAAGTCGCATTGGTAAGGGAAAGGTTGAGGGCATGTCGTAGTGCATTCAATATTGCTAGTGCCTCTGCTTGGAAATACTATTGCTGTTAGTGAGATGGTCCTTTCCATTCCTTTACTAGTGTGCCATGTTCGTAGTGAGCAAACGCGCAGCCCACTCCCTGATCATGTTTTGATCCATCAGTGAACAGTTGTGTAATCGCACAGGAAGTGCGTTGTCTGGAGTGCGATGACTGATGTTGGATTTTGACATGGATCCCTCTACCTTTGATGGCAGGGTGGATGTGTCGCACACTGCCAGGGAGTTCATAGTCTGTTGTTCTGAACGTAATTCCTGCATATATGGCTTCTTGTCTGTGATGAGTGATTCGTACATAGGTAGCCTCTGCCTCTGCCTTTATGTGTAATGGCAGCAGGCCTGCAAGTATCGTGGCGGCGCTGGACGCTGTTGTGCGATAACCTCAGCAGATGTTTAATGCAAACGGCCGTTGAATTGTGGTCAGTAGCTTGGTCTTTCGGCTGCTCATTGGTTGTGCCCATATGACTGCTGCGTAGAGAATTATTCTCTCTGCTACTGTCAGATATAATAGTTTCCTGATATGGGGGTTTGTCCCCAATTTCTCACTTGAAATTGCCTGGCTTTCCTTGCGATGGTCGATGTTTTTGTACGTATTTCTTGGAGGTGCGGTAACCAGGTGAGTCTTTGATCCCAAGTGACTCCTAGATATTTAATCGTCTTCGTTATTTTTAAGCTTGCCCAGTAGCTTTATACATGGACGTCTTGTGGGATTTATGCCAGGACGTGGAATTACGATGGCTGCGGACTTTTGCCGAGAGATGGTTAACTTAAGTTTATTGCATAGGTCCGTGAATATCGAGCAGGTTTCTGTGGCATTCCGTTCCAGTTCATCTCTTGTGCGGCCAGACACCAGAAGGGCTACATCGTCGGCGTATGCTATAATATCTGTGTGCAAAGGCCATTCATGTTGTAGTATGGAGTTAAAGGTGATTATCCAGCTATGTAAACACAGGCAACTACAGTTAAAGATGAGCCAATCTTCCAAAAAGAAACTGGTGCAAAGACGTTGAACTCAACCCCAGGTTTAGTACTGCGTGCCAAGCAACACAACACTAAATCCTGCAGACAGTGAAGAAAAATCCCTTTAAAAGCAAGTATTTAACCCTTTTTCTCGCTTCCTTGATCCTGAGAGGGAAATAGTCTATAAATGTTTGGAATAATTTATCAACCGAAGACTTTTTCATCAAATAAAAAATATGATTAAGTACTTAAGGGTAAGTTGTTATAATTAAATTACTTCATTTAGAAGTCCATCGTTACTTTTTTTTTAAATGGACCGTCAAATATGAATCAATTGATCTTCTATGTAGTTAAAAAACATTTCTTTTTTTAGACACCCATAGCCGTTTTACTTTAATCTTCATAGGGTACCAAACTTAATAATTGCATTTGTAAGCAGATTTTAATTTTGTAATTTTGTAAGCAGATTTTAATCGAACATAATTCCTAGCATAAACAGATATAGCACACATATGAAAGGTTTTTATCCAATTCTTAATGAAAAAAATTATTATTTGTCCGTAAATTCAGTAGCCAAATCATTTCGTATAACTTATAAGGTATTTCTCCCGCCTTCCTAGCGTGCCTTCGTGGTGTAGTGGTCTGCACGCTGGGCTGGTATTCTAGAGGTCCGTGGTTCGATAGCCATATGCTTTTACTTATATCTAAATCAGGCATTAATAAGAATTTATAATCTGGGAACGTTAGGCCTTTTTTCATATATACAGTTACAGGACTGCAGGAACAACATTTACCATCTGATATGCTTATGATATCTTACATTAGTTATTAAAAAAAGTATTTTTCAGGTTTGAACCTTTTTGATAACTCAGTGTTGTATAACATGAAAAAAACTTCAGAATATTTATGCACGGTTATTAAAAAAATAACACGCATTTATGTCTGAAGTCGT